TCAGAACTGTGACACCAACCGGAGGCCCAACATTGCCTCGATTACAGCCCTCAAGCTCTGCCGGTTATATTCCCTACTCCGCGGAGCGATCCATGACCCCAATGTCTTCAATTCCTCCCAGTGCCACCATTCGTAGTGTCACCGAGCCAACCAGGACATACACCCCTTTTACATCACAGCCGGGCTTTCCCAGTGGTGCACGGGAGAGGCCAATTCCACAGAGACAGGGAAGCCAGGGAGTAGATGACATATTGGACCATTATTGAGGGGTTGACCCTTCTGAGAATGGAGGCGGCTTCTTTGCTCGCGGTGACGAAACAGTAACGATGATTAATAGCTAGATCCTGTAACACAAAATGGCACATTTTTGCTTAACTAGTTTCTTCCAGGCCTCGCAATGGGGCAGGGGAAGTGGTCTGATGATAGACTCCTCATCAAGTGACATTGCCAACTTTGCTTGCCCAGGTAATGTGTCTTTCGAAGTCTCCGATTGGTCAATGCTCAATGCTGATTTTGGTGTACGTCAAATATTAATTCAGACTTTCCTATTGTACCATACAGAGTGCCAGACAGTCCCAAAGCATCGCCATGCTGCCTGGGTCTGCTTTCTCAAAGACTCTTCGTGAAGTCGCACCGGGCTTGTCGAAGAGGTTCTTCGAATGCAGCGGTCGTAATCATGCTGCCCAGCTTAGCAAGCTTCAACCCAAATCCGCGTGTACCTCGACAGTACAACCATCGTCGGCGAGGATCAGCCAGACCCGGAACTTGAGCGCGCGCTGTGGTGCATCAATACGAAACTGCAGTCTCCCGCAAGCCAAGTCCCCTTCCTGCAACCTCAAGAGCGCATCTTTTGCACCTGCGATTGTTCGAGGATTCTCTGAATCTGCGCACGCGAGATCCACGAGCACTGCCGATAACGCCACAGACCCAAATGAAAGAAGAAAGGATGAGGAAAAGACCGGAAATGAGAGCAAGAGCAGGAATTTCTTCCCAGATACTTCCTCAAACACTGTGGCCTATTGGCTTCTCGGCAGCGCTGCCAGTGTGTTTGGGATCGTGGTGTTTGGAGGATTGACAAGACTCACAGAGTCCGGGTATGTGATACCAACTCCTACAACTCTTGAGGCTTTCGAGCAATGGAGTCGTTCTTGTGCGAGGAACCTGCTGACTCGAGTTTTCAAACCAGTCTAAGTATCACAGAATGGAAACCCGTCACTGGCTCCCTTCCTCCCATGTCTGAGGCAGATTGGGAGTCGGAATTTGCCAAATATCGTTCGAGTCCCGAGTTTCACATGCTGAATTCACGAATGACGCTTGAAGAATTCAAATCAATTTACTGGATGGAATGGATCCATCGGCTCTGGGGTCGATTCATCGGGCTCTCCTTCGTTTTGCCGGCAGCGTATTTCGTCGCGCGGAAGAAAGTCTCCCGTTCCATGGCAACGAGATTACTCGGCATAGCAGGTTTAATTGGGTTCCAGGGCTTCCTCGGCTGGTGGATGGTGAAGTCGGGATTGAAAGATGACCTATTCGCACCCGGCTCGCATCCACGTGTCTCGCAGTACAGATTGACCGCACATTTGGGCGCGGCTTTTGTCTGCTACCTGGCAATGCTTTGGAATGGTCTTGACATCCTCCGAACGAACAAAACCTTACGCATGTCCTCCGATGGTGCGAGTGCGACGCTCAAAAGCTTGGGAAACCCGGCGTTGAAACCCTTCAAGCGCTATGTGTCCCTCCTCGCAGGTTTGATCTTCATTACAGCAATGTCCGGAGGCCTGGTCGCAGGTCTTGACGCAGGCTTGATCTACAACGAATTTCCCTACATGGGGCTGGGCCTAACGCCCCCGAAGAGCGAGCTGTGGGACAAGTTCTACTGTCGGGCACCCGACCACAGTGATCTTTGGTGGCGCAACCTGCTCGAAAACCCTAGCTTGGTTCAGCTTGACCACCGGATTCTCGCGACGACCACCTTCACTGCAGTCATGGCGCTATGGGCGTTCTCTCGTTCAGGAGCAATGCAGAAAATCCTACCGAGAGCAGCACAGAAAGGTGTTCATGGTGTTGTTGGCTTTGCGTGCTTGCAGGTCATCCTGGGCATTTCCACGCTATTATACCTAGTACCCACTGGGCTAGCAAGCGCACATCAGGCAGGGAGTCTGGCATTGTTGACCTGGACGATTGTGTTGGGAAGTCGAGTCTGGTTCCCCACCCAAGCCGCGCGCATTTTGGCTCAGCGAACCCAGGTTAATCTTGCTGGTAGCGGTGCTGAAGTGGCGCACAGGGCGGCTATGATGTCGTCGGCAGCGAAGGCAAAGTCTGTGATGCCTGGTAGCCCTGCTGCTCTGGCTGCAATTGGTTGCATGCCCATTGTCACAGCCATAGGTCTTGGACTTTCTTCGAAGTCGGAGGCTGATGTTGCGAGGCAGCTTTCCGCTCATATGACTGGGCATCGGGCAGTCTCAGGGGTTGAACAAATGCGGTCTTCGTCGGTGCCGAAGGCCTCATAGCGAAAATCACTGGTGCGAACCTCACAATCTTCACTCTTGACTACCTTTGTTGTATTACTACATTAGATGGTGAATGATCATTCCGCATGTTTCAACCACTTGTCCCGATCTCGGCACAAAATATCACGTTTGACCACGTTTGACCATGTCAGATGAGCTTCAAGAGGGTTCTGGTGGTCCTCCGTTGCCAGGCAGGTCCAACGCAGCAAGCTTTACAAGCTGCCAGCTCCACTAATCCGTGACCACCAAGCTGTCAACATTGCGAATTGTCTATACAATGTACCAACAACACCCAATCACGCGGTGCATTTCGAGACCTGCCGTTGGCAGACAGTCTTGGGTACCGCATACTACCTTCAGAGGTGTACACGCACCAACCACGTGGGAGCCACGGTGTCGTCTTCTCGTCTTCTTATCAACTTGCCTGTATCAAGTACTATGGCCATCAGAGTTGGGTTGTCAAATACCGCGGTATCGACGGCTACCGTAGAGGCTTAAACATCTGTCACTAGCCACTCGGGGCACGACTTTCGCTTGCCGCGAGGGATAACAGCAACAACCATCTCTTGCGAGAAGAAAATCATGTCGTCCACACAGCTCTTCGACTGCCAAAACGACCCCCGAAATGTCTTGGACATGTCTCGGTTACGCAAGCATTATCTTTCCGACGCTCGATCGTGATGGGCTCTTCTAAGGTCATCAACCGTCAGCGACGTGACCGGGTTGACCTTTGATGAATCCTTCGATCCGTGGTTGCCAAAGGCATGTACGAGGTGTTATTGTGGAGGTGCGCGGTGTTGGCGCGGCATCCCTCTTCCCTTGCAGCAACTCGAAAAAAAAACGGAGTTCCGCCGGGTTTGATTGACTGATGACCAGTACCAAGCCCGTAGCTGGGTTAGGGGGTTGGTTGGGCCCTGATCAGTACCTACACATGGCTTTTTGACGCAGGGCTGGGGCGGGAAGGTGGAGGACGAGAGGCAAGCAAACAATACTCGGCACGCAAATCATAAGGCATAGGGCATGAGGCATAGTTCGTGTACATACATGTACATAGCAAATAGTAAATGAAACAAGATCAGTCCGGACCTATGTAGGTCAAGCAGATCATTTTTACAGTACCGAGTAAAGCACGGGCCAAAACAGAAGGGCCCTCTTGGATAAGGCCACCAAATACTTACTCCCTCCCCTACTCTCGTCGTCGGTAGGAATACGGAGTAAATATGTACGTACGAGGGATTCGAGGCATTCATACATACATGGCTACCTGCCTACCTAGGTACTTTCCTCCTTAGGTAGGTAGGTAGGTAGATAACATACCCAGCAGGACGCTGGTCCTCCGGGATTTCCGGGAAATGGAGAACTGACTGACCGGGATGACCGTGCCAGTCCACTATTACTACATAGGTACTCGGTACTTGGTGGTAATACCTCCTCGCAGTTCGTGCGAGTATATTCAAGCACGAGGCACGAGCGGGTGACATATATGTGTGGAGAAGAAGAACAAGTAAATTCCTGTTTCACCACCGGAATCTCGACGCCTAAGGGTCTCCTATATCACGTGACCTAGCGCCGCTTTTGCTCAGGCGTGGCAGGCTAGCCCGCGCCCGGCTCAACGTCGGCTCAGGGCTGTTTGGGCCAGCTCATGCTGACGACATTGGGCAGTGGCCCAAAGGTCGTCCCTCCACTAGACCATCAGGTTTCACGAGGGCCCAAAGGCACCACGACATATTCCCTCCTTGACCGTGCGAGAGCGAGTCGGGCTTTATGACCGTGATGGCCTCTGTCATGGATGCATATGTAGATAGTTAGAGTCCAGCGACATTAGTAGTCAACTCTCGAGGATAGGTTGCAAAAATAGACCCGTACTCGTGATGGAGTGACATGTCCGATCCCGGCATTTCACTTCTGCCTTTGTCTTCCAATATCACGATACACATAGGCCGCGTCAGTAGGGTGTTCGATGTGAGGCACTCATGCAGGCTGCCCTGAAATCCCATGGCTGTCACCTTTTCCCCAACTACTTTTCTTCTCAGAAGCAAAAGGATTTGCAGCAAGGGCTTGATTCTATCCTTTCTGGTGTTGCTTCCAATTTCCTGCGGAGACCTGTTATAACCTTCAGCCCATCTACCCTTATAACAAGGCCGGTCCAGTTTGGCATGTGCAAAGATGGTTACTCTAACCACCGGGTCTGTCTCACTTTCCATGCAGAGGCGATGGGAGACCCACGGTAGGGCGCGTTGCTTCACGACAAAACAACGTGAATGCCGCTGAAACTTCAAAACACGACCAAGCACCATATTTTGAAGACGGTCACTAAGGACCGATCTTTTCTGCTCGCCATTCTGGCAAGCTGGTGCTCTGCCCGATAGGCATTATGCCCAACACTTTCTTAACCCACTCGGTACGCCCGCTCAGAAGACCGCCAAAACCTCCGCCAGATGGGTGCCCGACGATGCACCACAGAAGATTCATAAGTATAATATACAATTTTCAATGCGTCCGATCGATATAGTCTCTCCTCGGCTGTGCACACCGTGGATTCTCAAAGCGCGCCCATACTCCTACCAATAAAACCAGTAATCCAACAATCTTGAGCGCCGAGATCAAGAATCGGACCGTGTCATTTGGTGATTGGAGTAACTGCGAAAGGAGCCATGAAAATAAGATCATCGGGCGGGGTGCACCTTCTCCCTCTCGTCGCCACATAACAAAAACAGTGGCGACGATCTCTGCACAAATAATAAATGAACACAGAAACGGCAGTATATCCTTCCCAACGAGCAACATCCGGTTTGTTGCAGGTTTCTCAGACGATCTGCCTTCCTCCGCAGCCTTGGCTGTCAAGTGTCCGAACTGATTGGGAAATGTGGCGTCCGTGGGTTTTGTCTGGACCCCTGACGCGTCAGAAAAGTTGCTAAAAGGTATCTTTCCTTGGTCTGATGTTGTCCCTCGATCCTCTGATATCTGGGTTTGCGACCCCGCATCGTTGTTCGAGTCCTCGTCTTCGCCACTAAGGTCGACAGTTGCAGCAGGTCGGGGCGGAAGTAAACTGCGCACGTCCGGAGGCTTGGCTATGGCACTGCCGTTGGCCTGAGGTTCGATGCCTGCGAGCGCCGACAAAGGTCAGTTCAATGGCAGTGGAGGGAAGTACTGGGGCAGACTCGCCTTGGAAGTCGGATTGACCATTCATGGCGCTCATGAGATCTTCCCCAGCGATCATATCCGGGCACCGAGTATTATCTGTGACATACACCCGCTGATTGATCTTCTGTTTAGTCCTTTCCAGCTTGATTTGCACTAACATTTCGCCTATCGCCTTGAGTTCGACGTTCCCGGCGTACAGTGTTACTGTTTCCGTGACCTTCTCGAGCAAGGGCAAAACTGGAGTCGTTTTCATGATCGAGCGGACAAAGGACAACCGAATCCAAGTATAGGGTATACGATGATCTTCCAGCCGACCGTGACCCGACCAGGTATTGTCCGGAAGCAAAAGTTGAAATCTTGCCCTGTTCTGCGGAACGCTCATCGGGCGAGATTGCATCCTTCCAGGCTGCGCCATCTTTTGACTTTGATCCCGCATCGGTTGCGAGGTTGAGTGCGGCATCGTCAATGCCCACAAAACTCTAGCGTGAGTCGGGTTCGCAAGGGAGGCATAGTCTCGAGACCAACGACTTGTGGTTCAATCGGCGGTGAAGGCGATCGGGTTTTGAAGGGCAGCAGAGAGTTTCGGTTCGTCTGGCAACACTAATGTTGGCTGGGTCGTCCAGCAGTGAATTTCGATGTGAATGAAAGGCGGTGACGATGGGTGTGCTGATAACTAGGCAGGATCGGAAATTGGGCAGCGAGCAGCGTGGCAAAAGTTCGAAGCAGGTACCCAGGTCCGCAAGGTTTGTTCCAGGAATATCCACACGGCTTCAAAAGCAGAGTATGAACGAGTGGTATGGCAGGATCACAGAATGAACGAGAGCCTTTGACCAAGGTCTGAACTGATATCAAGATGGAGTGGTGAATTAGGACGCGGTGACCAGCAGGGTTGAGAAAACACGTGAAATCTCTTAGGGGCGATATTTAACCGGACCTGACGATCGTGCACAGGCGCAGAGGCCAAACCCGAAGACCCAGATTAGCGGACCCCGGAAAATCTTTTGACTTCATCATAGGTGATAGGTACCAATATAAGCGTACCTAGGCATAAAACGCCTTAGCTCGATACAACATGCAGACGACAGAAGAAAGACAGAAACAACCCTCTCCCCTTGACAAACCCTTAGTATCCCAAGTCGAGAACATATGCGGGTCCATCATAAGGGACTTTGTTGCCCCCGTCGTCCTTATACCACTCATTCTTGACTTTGTCCCACTGCAACCCTTCCTTCTTCCTTTCATTCCTCCATTTGACCAGTTCATCAAGTTGCTTGCCTCGTCGTTCAACATCGCGGTCGTCTTTCCGGTGCGCCTCCTTCTCCTCTGTTGCGGCCAGTTGTTAGTCATGCGGTCTGGGACCGGCGGTGAGTTCCAACGGGACTAACCTTTGCTGTCCTTGCTCCTCGACGTCAGTGGAGCAAGCACATCGAGATCCTTTCCTTTCCAGATCACCAAGCCGCGCTCCATCAGCGACCTGCAGCCGAGGATGACATCAAATTGACTGTTCTGTCGTGCAATCTGGAATTCACATGGTTGTGTGTGGTTCTCAAAGACAGTTGATCCCTTCAGAAGACCTAACGAAGCCACTGGACTGTTGTCGAAGCTGTACCAGCGAGGTTTGCTTTTCTCCCATTTCGCGGGGAGGTTATTGGCCGATACGATCTTCTCGTTGATCCAGTTATCGATGACTCCGGTATCAAGCAGGAACACGCCTTTCCATTCTTTCCCTCCTGGAAAAATCAGCTCCGCTTCGATCTGGTTCATTTTGAGCTTTGGTTCATCGGTCAGGAGCATGCGCCTTTGAGGTTGCTGGTTGGTCATTGTTCTGCTTGGTAGCGCTCGACTGTCGGAGGCCGATTTATTAGTGCGCGGTCTCTGTTGCTTGCTTTGGCCACGAGCATTTCCTTCAGGTGGATAGCTGTCGTCGACCCTCTCGTCATCCTCATCGTCTGTGGTAAGACTCGGTGTGCTGTTTGCCCCTCTGCGTTGTGCTCCATGCTTCTTAGCATCCAGGTTCTCCTTGTGTAACACACTGGTGGGAACGCCAGTAGCGACATATCCTAGCTTGAGCCAGCGGTCGCGGTCAAGCTCCAGAGCGTCATAAGAGTTGTCTTGCCGAGTCATGCTCACGGTGCCTACAAAATAAGGCTGGAACGAAGGTTTGCCTGCTCGTAGGCAGATCAGTAAAGGACTTGCGCCGCATCGCCTTTATCTATATCACGCGACAGAGCCCCGACTGCCCCGCATCTGGACTGTGTCTGCGTTGTCGTAGCGATCCGACTGATGAGGCGACTGTTGGCTGCCCAAACACGTTACACAGCAGGCTTCCGAGCCTGTCGGTGCAGCATAACCACTGCGATTTTGCCCGGCTAGAGCGGTAGCAAAACCGGTGAACATTGCGCGAGCATCAGTGCACCTATCTCTGGTCACCCATGCAGTGATGCTACCAATTATCCCTATGCTTGGTGTTACCCACCTCTGGTGAGCGAGCATTTATACAAGTGCCTCTTGGACCTGGTAGCTTTTGCATGGTTTTCGACTTTCAAATTTGGAAACCGACGGCAGAACATGGCTGGCATGCGAGGCTATGATAAGCTCGCGCATCTGATGAGCCACTATCCAGAATACGGCATCGTCCGCCGATTCCGCGAGCTGAACTACAGAAATATCCTCTATCTCCAAGCCGAGTTAGTGCAGCTTGAGGCAGAGCTGCAAAGCGCAACGACGGCAGACGCCCAATCCCGGGATCCTCTCCGTCAACATTATGGCAACCACTTTCCCCTTCTGAGCGCCTCTCTGGGAGCCGGCCACGACGTGCAATGGACCACAATGCTCGAAATCCGGAGTAAGCTGGAAAAGTACAGTGAGCCTAACGTCACCCTGCCTCTTCATGCTCCAAAGAGCATCCACTTCCCAGGAGTGGTAGTCCAAGTCACTGATCATCGATGTTTAACAAGACCAGTGCCTTCAGGACCAAAAGGCACTCGGCGAACTGGGTAGACCAGCAAAGCACAACCTCACCTTCCTCCGAAGCTGGTTTGAGCGGCGACACATGGGCAACCGCCCGATCATCAGCAGCGACAGACATGTCTGGGACGTGGAGAAAGAGCATGACCTCGTCGTTCTCGAGCCCGCAGGATTCGCAGACGCTCTGAGCGACTGGATCTCAGGCCACTGTGTGCCCCTTTACCATCGAACCATCGGTAAACACCACAAAGCCACCGTCGACTGGGACCCCGCATCGGAGATGTCGTGGTATTCCTCGTCTGGAATCCAAGCGGCCGTCGATGTCGTCGCGACCATTATCTCCTGCCTTTTCCCCGTTGGAGCCACCGTCGTTTTGTACTTTGTGCAGAGCATGGGCGCGCGTTTGGGAGCCTTGGCCGCCTTCACCGCCGTTTTCGCCTTCTGCCTGGCACTCTTGACGAACGCAAAGCGCGTGGAGATCTTTGCGGCCACGACAGCGTAAGTTCGACCCTTTTGGGTACGTGCCCTCTCAGACGGTATCGAAGTAACATGTGGCTAGTTTTGCAGCCGTTCAAGTCGTGTTCATCGGGACAAATTCTGCGAACCCAGGAGGTTATGGTTGATCGCTCAGGGGCACACCATGCGGAGAAATATACGCGATACTATTTAAATCCAGGATAGGCTGTCCAAAAGGAGCGACATGAAATGATAGAGGGAGAACTATTGGCTCGGCCGGAATAGAGAGAGAAAGTCACGAGAGGGGCACAGAACATTGGGAGGACTGAGTGACAAGGCATTTGAAGTATGTGGGTAACCTCGCTGTGTTTTCCCCGGATATTTGACTGGAACTCGTAGAGTATTTTCTCAGCATACTTGTACACTCTCTAATTATCTTTGTCATTTCTTCTTCCTTTTTCGTCTTATCATAAACAGTGATCCACCTCCTGTCCACGCCTCTTCTTCCGACTTCCTTCTTAACCACATCTCTCTCGTCCCCTTGGACCAGTATTTCCACTACACCAGGCTTTCTACCTATATGCTGTCACTATATTCGCACACCTAGGACATTTCTTCTGGAGTTCTGGTCCCAAGATTTACGGGGTTGATGCCGAAAAATTTCCAGCCCGAGATTTTCGTAACGACGCTTGGTGCCTGATCACTCTTCCAGCACGAGTGTGTCATGAATGACAAGGCTATTCCTCTTATCCATGACAGCGCCCACATCTTCACTAATAATCAGTGATATTCCGGTCTTTTTGGCACTTGCCAGGGAATCGTGGGCCTGTTCCTGACACCGGGCCTCAAGACAACGCGGTGCTTCTGATTCGAGGTCGGGCTCGGCAGGTACTGAACGGTAGTTTTGAAGGCTTCGTAACACTTGGTTATTGACTACGAAGGACTTCCTAACAAGCCCGGTGCCTAGGGAGTGAGTCGAAAGAGTCGTCCCTTCCCATAGTCTTTTTGAATGGGTCGACGGTACAATGGTTTAGCCACGTCCCATTCCGGATTTGGCTGGTCACGTGACATGGTACTCGAGTCCCTCTTCTGGCACCTGTTCCTCAGTTCAGGGCCATCACCAGGTTCAAAGATGGGGATGGAAAGTGCTCGTGTCGAGATTCCGACGTCGAATTGCCTATTCGTAGAGCTCTTTCGTGGCCCTGCGGTTTCGTTCTCCACCAAGGTACCGAGTATGTAAATATGTACATATTACTCGTAGTCACGATTCTACATACGTATTATTGGCCTTGCTTGGTGGTTACTAGGTAGGCAAAGTTGGCCAACCAGTGTTAGGTACGAGGGGAGGTACGAGGCAGTGCCCAGGTGCCAGAGTCAGTAGTAGTAGTAAGAGTGCTTGTGCTCGGTGCCCAAGCACGCCGCGCCACAAGGACAAAAGACTTTCGTCTAAGGCGCGGGCCGGCCGCAGAAAAAGCCAATGGAACACGCGATCGAGGGTGAATTCATCTGGCACCCGATACAAACAACAAACTGACGCGGAGCGCGACGAGACAAGAATTCTCTAGGGGTCAACAAAAATCAGCTCGTCATTGAGATATGTACAGGACTGAGCAGGGGTGGTGCTCCTAACCTATCTCACTACGAGTATGTATTTCCCACTGGCTGGATTGGACCCCTTCTTGAAATGCGAAACCCTTGCAGTTGAGTAGAACCTTGCAGCGGATGCACCTGGTAAAACAGCTCCGGACAATGCATCCCTGACATAATGATCATGCGAGTTAGGTTTGCCCCAGTGCCAACCTACCTACCTTTGTATGTTTTTGTGGCTTACGCCTAGCAAGCAGGGCCTGGCTATTCTGCGACAATCCAGGTCTGGTCTGTTTCAGGATAGCAAGAATCGAGGCAAACGTAATCCCCACAAGGGAGGGTTTATCAATCCGCCCTGGTGGGCTGGCTGTATCCTGGGATTCCTGGCACCCAATCCTCGTAGGGCTCACTCGGAGGGGAAACGAAAAGAGCGAGAGGCATGGCTAACCGGACTAACGCGTTGCCTCGTTTGTGTCAATAATGGCCAATCTTTTTCGTCGATCAGACACTGTTCACTCGCTGGGTTTCTCGAGGGCGGGAATATTTCGTAGCCTGCGGACCACGTGGAGGTGGCAGTGCACGGTTAGGCTTCTGGAGATCTGAACAGTGGAAGATCCCGTGTGGTTTGGGCGGGCGTTGCGCGTAAGAATGGCCCGGGAAATTGCTACTCGGTATCGCAGTGGTGGTATCGATATGGTGCAGGACCTCTATCGATTGCTAGCAGGGCTTAAAGTGGGGGATGGAGATTGACCAGGATGAACACGGAGGGCGAGACGGCCACGATGGGGTACTCGAAGGTGACATTCTGTGATGCATGCTTTTGTGACAGTGACCAAGGTTTGCTGGCTGAAGCAGCGTGGCTTGAACCCGGACAGAACGAAGACCAAACTGGTTTGACCCGAAATCTGACCGCTGTTGATATTCATATTAGCTTCTCGACCATTCAAGCCAGTCCGAATAGAGGCGACAGGAGAACAAAGGACGTCGGTAGGGACTAGGTACGCGTGTGGACGTTGCTGCTGAGAGCATCTATTTAAGGTCCCTGTGGGCAAACCGTTGGCGATGAAGCAACCAAAGAGCGTGGACTAGTAACTAAATATACAACCTCTGCGGCGTGTTCCTGTTGGGTGGGATTTGACTTTGAATGATTTGACGTGGTGGTGAGTGGTGCGCGCTTCTTACCGCTATCGATGACTTCCTGCGCTGGGCTGCGGTGCGTGTGGGTGGATATCATCGAGCAGGGAACACACAGCAAGATTCCCTACAGACTCAAAGCTGCGTCAACCCCCGTGTGTTTGTTCCTTCTTCAGATCTTTCTTCCTGTGCACCGTCCTCTGTGCTATGCCCATTCACGCCTTGGCCCCAACCCTGCAAGCCAACGGCCCTCCTTGCCTCCAAAGGGGCTGCTGCTGCTGTGACAATCTTGGTCTCCTGTGACTGGTATTTGGTGACTGGCTGCTGCGCGCCTGTCGCTTGTCCCTGTTCGGAAAAAGAGAAAGAGAAAGGCGAGAAATATCACACGCCTGCGTCACTCATTGGTGCTTTGCCTGCTTCTTCGCCCTGATTCACAGGAACTAACAGAACTAGAGGCCCCTCGAAGCCTTGGATGAAGCCTGGAACCTCGCGCCCTGCACCAAAAAGCCCTGCGACTGAGAACTTTTGAAGCCTGAAGGCCAGAAAGCCTGGCGTCAGAAGGTCGGGCTCGAAAGCTAAGCTGAGCGCTCTACAGCAGTTCAATTCCCCATCTGGCTGGCATCTGCCGCTCCCGCTGGCTTTCAGTTAAACCTTTAGCACCCTTAGTGGCTCGGGGCTAGCCATCTGGCGCCCATCTGGCACCCACCTGGCACTCTGCTGCCCGCTTTTCTTGGTTTCCTCCAACTGCCCAGTGCGCAGTCCTGCAGTCTGCGTCCGCAGTCCACAGTCCAGTCCACATTGTAGTGGTGGTGGTGGTGGCACCTGCACCGAATCCGCAACCTGCACTTGCAACTTGCACCTGCCAACCTTCACGTTGACTTGAGAGCCATGGACAACGTCCATAACACGACCTCCTCCAACTTGACCACTTTCACCTCTTCCAAGCGACGTCGAAATACTCTGACCAAGAATCATCCCCCTTCCGCGTTCCCCTCCAAGGGCTCGCTACGCAAACAACAGTCGTCTGCTGCACTTCAACGGGCGCCGTCAGCTCCATCCCCATACCCTCGCAGTCACGACGCCTCACTGTCTTCCCGCGATTCTCATCAGAGAACCCAATCCAGCGCGTTTGCTTCTTCCACATCCTCGCTTGAACACAGCAGCGGCACACCGTCTCCCATCGTTCCTCCCACAAACTTCTTCGCGTCGTCAGTCAGCGGCTACAAGCCACCACAACACCTCCCGCTCACACCCCAACCTTCAGATGACCGTCACAAGGACTTGATCGGAGCGCCATTTGACGCCTCGGGTCTTTTGTCTTCTTTTCAAGTCGCCGGTATGAACGACAATCAGAATGCTGGCGCTCAATCACCATATCCCCCACCGTTAACCCAAACCCACACAAGCCCCGACCTTCGATCTCACCCGCTACGGAATTCGCAGACATTTGGGCCTGGAATGGTGGCTATGATGGAAGTAACACCTCCTAAATCGGAAAATGGCACGCTCAGTCCCAAGCGCTTCTCAGGTGACGGGCACACCAAACCAGCTGGGCCTTTTCGCAAGAAGAGTGGCTTTTCTAGTTTCGTCAACAATATGCTGGGATCCCCAAGGACAATCAAAATCTCCGCGCCAGAAAATCCCTTGCACATGATACACGTTGGCTACGACAACCAGACCGGGCAGTTTACGGTAAGTCGGCAGCCAATTGAGCAGATCATCCATCCGTCCATTGATTAGAATCAACCCCCCATTCTG